GAAGAAGTTCTTCGACTCACGCCGGGAGCAGGGCGGCTCCGGGCCCGGGTCGGGCACCAGCGGCGGCGGCGGCGGCAGCAGCGGCCCCGGTAGCGGCTACATCGGCCGGGTCTTCAGCATCGGCCGGCACCAGGTCACTGTGGACGAGGTGCTGGCGGAAGGTAAGATCCCGCTGCCTTTCTGAGCGCTCCACGAACGCTGCTTTTCCTTCCCCAGACTGAAAGGGAGGCCTTGAGCTGTCCCGAACACCCAGCCTCCTCCTTGACCCCCAGATTCCTGAATATTTCATTGTCCTTGACAGAATTGCAGGCCGGTGGTGTCTGTAAGCTGACGTGTCTGGTTTTCCCATCTGTAAATCCAATGTGGGTTTGCTGGATTTGGCTTTTTTTTTTAATGCTTTAGATATTGGGGAATTTTCAGAAGTTATTTGCTTCTTACTTTTCCTAAACTGGGAGTTAAAAATACCAAAAGAGACATCCAAACCAAAATTATCAAACATTTTGGTGCAGAACAAGGTGCTGTAAATAAAGAAAGCAGCATCCTTCACTCTTAAACTTTCTTCAGCTGTTACCTCCTTTCCTACCTCAAGCGGAGAGGATTAAAACACTGGAGTAAATTCCTTGTAGCTACGTTACGCACATAGGTAGGCTGAGCAGGACTGGCTGTGACCTGGGATGAGGGATTTCTCTGTGTGTGGGGGGTTTCTGCAAGGGGAAGTGCTGATCCCAGTTGCTTTTTTTTTAGTTTTTTCCCCCAAATGAAACAGTTAGACCTGAAAATGAATTGTAGGAGTTAGCGACCTCATGACGTGTGCAGGCCTTGCAGTGCAGCAAGCTGCTGGTGGCATTTGTTTAATTGTAACCAGCTCTGCTGCTTGAACTATCATTTTACATTTCATTTGTTGGGGCTGTAAGGAACCTCCTGAATGGCTCTGGCTGGTAACCTTAGCCTCGACCTTCAGAGAGATGTTGGCCTCCTTAGACCTGCTCCTGGTGCCTCCTGCGCAGCATCCTGGGCAAATTTAGTCAAAACAGTGTTTTGTTTTGATGGTGAAGGAGAGGGGAGCTGCTGGGAGAGAGCTGAGTGGGAGGACCTGTGTTGGCTTTTACAGAAAGAGCCCTAAAATGGAAAAAGGACTCTCTGTACGCTGCCTGTGTTCACATTTGTAAGAATTCACCATGATGTACAAGAAAATAGGTCTGTGACTGTTTTTTACATTTTGTTTCTGATATGTTCTGCTGAGAGGAGCACTGAAACTAGGCTTTTAACTAGCAACTATACTGTTTTGGTTTTTTTTCCTTGATATTTCCAAGGCCCTTTTGGCCCTGGAAGCTTAGGACGTACATGAGCTAAACTTGAGAAGCTGTCAGAGTCTCTTTAATGCAGGATGGTCTCATCCTGGTAACATGGGAAGGCAGAGAGGCTTTTTTTGCTGATGAGTAATCTGCTGGCAGGTTCTGCCCTGTGCTGACAGCCCTGGGAAGTGAAGCTGTGTGTCACCGGGCTCTCCTGCTCGGCAGGGCTGAGCTGCAGCAGAGGTGGAGGTGGGAGCACAGATTGCCTGCGAGAGAAGAGCCTTCCTTCCCTGCTTCTCAGTCCTGGGGGAGCTGCTGCTTGTGGGGGCTTTTCCCTGCAGCTCCTGCTTTCTTGGCTGGCCTGTGGGAGGGAGCATGGCCTGCAGCGCTGGGCTCCTCACATGTGAAACAGGTGCTGTGTTCTGTTCCTGTGAGGCAGAGTGAGTTCTTCTGGTGAAAGATGCTGCCCAGGTACATCCCTCCCAGTGAGACTCTGCAGTGGCAGTCTGAAATCCTTCTGTGTGCAGACTGAAGCCTCCGAGGGGACAAGAGCGAGCTGGTGTATTGGTTTGCAGGTCGTCACCTTTTGTTGGGAGCAGTGAAAATGCTGTTTCCTCTGCAGGAAAGTTGGGCCAGCTGGGGAGCAGTGTGGGTCAGAAGTGCTGCAGCGCTGCATGCCTGTGGCTGAGTGTGCTGGTAAACAGCCTTTTCTCCCTGACTCAGCTGGGGAGCTCATGGGCAGCCCGGTCCCTGCACTCCTGACGTCTGAAACCTCGGCTGGAAAACCTCTCTGGATCTGCAGTGGTGTTTCAGCAGTGCTGAAAAGGCAACTCGTGGCTATTTCTGCTAAAAGGAAAAGTCCCCTGGGAAGCACTTTTAGGAGGAGTATCCTGTCTGGGAAGGAAGTACCTCTCATCCCCGTTGCTTTAGGAGGGAGTGGGGAGGCCTGTGTTTAGGTGCAGCATGTGAAACGTGAAAAAAAATAAGATGTAAAAGTGGCTTAAAAGAGAGAATCAATGACGTGATGAATGGTGTGGAGGAGACTTGAGTTGAACCAGAACTTTTGGAATTGAAGTGTTGGGATTTGCCTCTGTCTGTCAGAGCTGTGCCTGGCCACCCTGAATTCTGCTGAGCAACCCTGCTGATGAGGAGTGTCCCCTGGCTGCAGCACTGCCTGTGCCAGGTGGCAAATGGCTCCGTGTGCCTCTGGGCTCTTGTGTGGATCCCCCAAAAATACCTGATGTGTTTAGGTGAAAAATAGTTCTGTCTGGGTACTTGCCTTCCTGGGCAGGGAGGAGCATCCCTTCCTTTTGGATGGAAGTGGATGGGAATAATATAGAAGGAATTTGAGGTGTTATGATACTGGTGAATTAGTGCTTTTTTTACAAACAGGGTGTTGCAATAGGTGGTTCCTAGTTGGGTCTTTGTAGCTGTCCTGCTCTAATTGGGGCTGAGTCAGGCTGCTGTCTTGCTGTTTATCTTTTTGAAAAGAAACTGAAAGAGTGTTGGATCAAATCAAATACTGCTCTTTGTTTTTGCCTGTGTGTAGGGGGAAAAACCAAAACAGCAAACCCCACCCCATGCTGGAGCTCCAGGGAGGTTGGTGTTCCTCTGATGGGGATCAAAGCAGCAGAAACACTGAGAAGGATGTTGGCATAAGTGAGGTTTCAGAGATGTGTGTGTGGCAAAGTACTGCAAGGCATGGGTTACTCCTTTGGGCTAAAACTGGGGATTGCCCCAGTGTCCCATTTTTAAGGGTCCCTGTGTTTTGTGTGACTGTACTCACAATGTTGTGAGAGTGCTGAGCTGTCCTGAGGTGTGTAAACATTGATGGGGCACGTGTTTGAGCAGGGTTTTGTTTGTCTTGCTCTGCTTCTAGCAAAAGGCACAGGCTGCGTTTCTGCAGGTCTCTGAACAGTTACTTTTAAAATCAGTTGTACTTTTCTGAAGGTCTTTTCCCCTTAAAGTGTGTAAGTAAGGGATTAAGGTTTAATAATTGTTAGATATTTCACTGAAGTTTTTCAGCCTGTGTGCTGCTGGCTAGTTTTGATTTGAAAGCATTTAATGGTTGGTATTACAAACCAGTGCAAAGTCACAAAATCATCTTGCGTTTGCCAGCTGTATTTTTTATCTCTGTTTTGAGAAGAAGGACACTGTAGGACTCATCCTGACTTTCCTTAGCAGACCTGCAGGCCAGTGCATGTAGGAAGCAGCTGGGAGAGGCTGTGAATGCCCAGCCCATGCCTGGTGAGCTGCCCAGTGCTGTGGCTGGCCTGAGTGCTGATGGTTTCTGCTGACCCTTGCCCTGCTCACCCTTGGCACCTCCTCTCCCTGCAGCACCATAACCTGAAGTCACTGAAAATGACATGTGAGCTTCTTCTGAAATAATCTAACTTTAAAACAAACCCCTCTGAGGTACATTTTACAGATTTATACGATCCTCAACCCAGTTCCAGTGCGGTTGGGTTCAAGGCATTGCTTTAAGTGTATTTTGTGAGTTACTGCTTTCTAGCTTCAGCCAAGGGCCCAGCTGCTAATCAGCTGACCAGTGACATTTGGATTAGGAATTAAACTGTTTCTCCTCTTGGAATGGGACATGTGATTTTTATTTTCTCATTTTTTCCCTGTTGTTTTTGCTGTGTTTCTTGTGAGGCAGAACGTGTACTCTGCACTCTGCTCTGCCAGGTAGGATGTTTGATTCTGTGTTCTAGCAGTCTGTTTTTCTGAAAGTAGAAGGCAGGGGCACTGGTGAAGAATCCCAGTGGAGTTATTTGGTAAATGTTGAGGTATCCCAAGTGTTTTGATGCTTTTAGCAGCACAGCTTTTCCTGGGACAGTGTGTGCTGTGTCCTGAGATGTAATCAGGGAGGAAAAGCAGGTGTTAGTGGATTTAAGTGTGTAAGAAGTTGTGTAGACCAGAGACTGTCCTGGCCTGGCTTGTGTGCTTTGTGCAGCCTGTCACAAAAGGGGGCTGGTTCCTTGTGGAACTGCTGTGGTAGCTAAAAGCTGATTTAGGGGCAGTGTTAGCCCAGCACAGTCATCTTCCCAGAAGGGAACCTTCCAAGTTAAACCAAACCAGTTTCTGTTTCAAGCAGTCCTGCTATGAATTTGTCAGTTAGTATAGGAAAGCTGAGTTTTGTGATTCTGGCTGGAGGTAATACATGCTTTGACTCTCCAGGTGGGGTCTTGCAGAAGTGTTCTAGGAGTTATAAAGGAACAGGTTGCTAACCTCTGGTTACACTGCTATGATGTTTTTACTGTGGCATGGGCCTGCTCCCCTTTGTGCAGGAGCTTGTCAGCAGCTTGAGGAGAGCAGGTGGGAAGTTATAAATGTGCTGAAGACAAGCTGGAATCCACTCTACATTTAGCACTTCTTGCCTTCCAAGCTCACCCACCTGTATTAATCATGGCTAATAAGGGGTCAGGAGTGGCTAGGTGCTGCACACTTGTGTTGGGACAGGGAACTGCTTCCCTTGAAGGTGATGTTTTCTCAGTGTAAATGTTCTGGGCAGGCTGAGGCTGTGCCCGTGGGGAAGGCACTGTGCCAGCTGCAGGGCTGGTGCTGCTTCTCTGGAAAGTCACAGCCAATTTGCCTTCACTTGTGCTAAGTGTTTACTTGTGTTCTACATGTGGAAGGAGACAGGAAATCTCTGAGGAGAACATGCCACAAGCAAAGTTGGTTTATGGACGAGTTATCTTCTGATAACAAGAGGTAACTAAGTAAGTTTCCCAGGAAGGGGTGCTGACTTCCTTGGATAGGGGAAGCACAGGATGTCCTTGTGGTGGTATCATGCTGGAAGCAAACCTCCTTGGATCAGATCCTGGCTACTGTACTTCTTGAGAGTTGGAACAATACTGACAGTGATT